TCCCAATAAGCCTTGTGCAAGTTAAATTTGAATAAAATCTGGTACACTGAGTTCTTTAAATTCATGTGAACATAACAATTTACATTCTCCAGACTGAAAACACTGTTGCTGTACCTCGTGATTTGAGGCAAGCTTTTGCTAAGTTAATGTACATAAGAGATGCCTTACAACAATGCACTGTTCTCAATGGATAAGAAGGGCACAAAGGAACCAGTCCATTCCAGAGATGGCAGCCGCTATGCAAAAGCTTGCCCCAAATCACGCGGTAAAGCAACAGTGTCTTTAGTCTGGGGAATTAAAGTTGTTAGTTTCTGTGCAATCAGATAACTCAGTGTACCAGATTTTATTCAAATTTAACTCAATAATGGCTTATTAGAGCCAATTCGTAAGTAGAGTTTTAACTTGTCTTTGGCAAGCTAATAAGTGGACCCACTCATTTTCCTCAGTTAAAGCTCTCATTCAATGAAGCCTAAGGCACCACCATATTTTTAGGATTACCGGTATTTCGTATCTCACTACTTGACTGCACCTATAATGTAGTTTACTGTCAAGTCCTTGCCATGGTTTCAAGAAGCCAACTTACTATTGGCACAGGGCAAGGAATGTAAAATTTATGAGGTTTTTTGATCGCTAAGCTTTCAAGCACGACTCCAAGCTTCTCTTCAAATTAAGCGAAATTCATAAATGCATATCCAGTTACAGTACATAAATAGCTAATGGATTTTGAAATAAGCTTGCAAATTTGATGAACAAACTCTTGTCCCATTTCTCTGGGCTTGTTGCTGAATGCTTCTATACATGTGCATCTTGGAATAGTTTGCAAAAGGTCAGATGTGAATATTTTATTATATTAGCTACAGAACAGATAGACATGTGCACGTTTGCAATGCCTGATTTGTAGGTTGGTGTGTGTTAAATAAACTTCACTCCAGTCGTATGTTTGTGCCAAGCTGGTCTACCATCAGGAGGGGCAGGTCATTGTGAATATCAGCTCTATGCACCTTGCCCTAATAGGTTAACATTTGCGGTGCGTGTTAAAATACCTTTCTCTACAAACTGAAATTTGGGTTTGCTGATTTGCTTTCAGGAGATACAGACTATTCAGAAATTCCTTGTGCTTAAACAGCCTTAAAACCAATTTAACCACAAGAATATAATATCAAATCAGTGCTCTGAAATATGTGTTTGCCGAGCTTTCGGTAACTGAGTACCTTCCTCAGGGCAAGCAGATTCTTGTCCTGAAGAAGGTACTAAGTTACCGAAAGCTCAGCAATCACATATTTCAGAGCACTGATTTGATATTATATTCTTGTCGTTATTCTGATCACGGTGCTACACAGCCCTTCCATATTTCTCTTAAAACCAATTTCATGTGTGTGCCTTATGTCTACATTTAAATTGTATAATTTTCTATCGTAGATGAACATGGGATATGTTTTTGCTAATCTGCCCTCATTAGGAGATACAAATTATTCAGACCGTAGTTGCCCTTATAAATAAATTGTGTTTTCAAAAAATCTGTTTAATGCATGTTTACAAGGTATCCAAATTTTATTGGTTCATCAGGGATTTCTTGGAAATTGTCAACTTTAATATAAAACAATTCAGTAGATAATATAAATACATAAAATTTGTAATATAAATAATATAAGTTTAAAGTACCGTGCGTGACCGCCTCAAAATCTTATAATACGTATTAAGATTAAACTGCATATTGTCGTCTAAGTGGTCAAACATACATTAGGAATAACTTGTATTATAAATGTTGAAAGAAAGTTTACTTTCAGAGAAGGAGTTTACTTCTGATGGGATCTGTGATTACTAAATTACCTCGTTCAGAAGCAAAGTTGTCAGCACTTGTTTAGCGAAGAGCTTGAGAGGCACTTTCAAGCTTTGTCAGGTTGGATTCGAGCCCACGGCCGTCTGCTTGCAAAAACAAAGGCCAGCCAATTCAAATTCCACAAGACAGTGTGTGTACTGTAAGTACCTCAGACGGTGACATCTGATCAGATTGTTTCCACATGAGAGCTTCTGTAAAGCTAGGAAATGTACCATGCTTGACAACATTACACGTGCATGAGTGATGAAGGGAAGAACCTCATTATCGTAGATGTACATCGTCCAGAGGCAAACATTTCCATCAAATGTCACATCGACGTTCTTAGCAAGCTGTACATGTATAAGAGGGACTTGAAACAGGAAGGCTGACATTGGAAGTCACAGCAAAGGAGAGTTGACTGAAGCATAAAATGTGCTTAGCGAAGTTGTTTTGTTAATCAGCATTCTTCACTTTTAAGGCTTCAGGCTGTGTTTAAAACTCAGATAAAGCAGAATATGCTCACACCGTGTCTTGGACTTTATTCAGTATCATCAACTGCAGTGCAGTTCAGTGTGATGCTTCTTGAAGCATTGACAGTGTGATTTACCAAACTGATTTCAATTGTTCGAACAGTACAAGAACAGTACGAGAGCACCTCAGTCGGTAGTGCTTGTATCCTACTAAAAGTACTCTTCAAGTGACACTAATAATTCTTTCACTCATAGGACGTTATTGGTCATTACAGAGACATTTCAACATCTCCTGAAGGTTTCAAGTCCTGGATTGAGGCAACATTTCTCAGTCGCAAATCAGACAGATCAATACTAGATCATGGTCCAGCACGTGAATATACCGAGTTTCATTAAGATAGGATACATGTACATGTATTGGAATATTGAGTATGGGGTCATCATAGTTGAAAAAGTTTGTGCACAATCCCATGGGAATGTCATTCTAAGGTAACGGTAAGGGCAATTATTATTAGTAGTATTATTTCTGGTTTATTGAAGCCACACCCCCAGCCCCTAGGGTTAAATTAAGTACAATAAATCAGTGGCAAATGATGAAAAATTTATTAAAAGGAAAGAAAAAAATATTTCTCACCCTATGAATTCGTAATGCTACCCATAAATTTATTGAATGATTTTGTTCTTCCAATGCATTTTAATGAGTTTAAGAACTCATGACTCAAGGCTATGCAAGTGTGCGAGACCATCTTTTATTGATATTTTCATTTTCGTTTCTGTCCATTCCCTCTGAACAAGACGCCGTGTTCCTAAACTTGACAGAGACTCAAGATGCCAAAATCTTTTCTCCACATCTGTTTCCAGTGCCCGTAAAAATTTGCGGCGCTTAGTGAGCCTAAGACCGACTTGCCGAGCAGAGTGATTTCTTGATATCCCCACGGATCGCCCAATCTAGATTGCAATTTCCAGTGACAAATCCATCAGGAGCCTTTACACCTGTATCTGACGAAAGTAATCGGCCTGTTTACAGTGCTTCTAAAGCCCGTGTGTATGCATAATCAGACCGTCCCACCACAAAGCGAGAGGACTAATTTGCCGTGCAGTTAATTAGCTTCTGATCTAGTGCTTCATAGACGGTATTTTTTGGTGGGCTCCTGATCGTTTCTAACTTTTTATTAACTGAACCCACTAATTGCCCAATTATTTTTAATTGGACTCTCGTTCCAAATGGGGAAGGGTTAGTGCACCCCTGCAACCAATTAGGATCGGTATCTTTTAATGCCTTCAACAGGAAAAAAAAGAATGGTAACAGAAAGTATTTAGGCGCACGCTCTCTCAGGAGGTAACTTTTTGAAATCCCATGTAAGTGTATGTATTTGGATTTCTTAATTTCTTAACATCGGGCTTGGAGGGGGAGGGACCAATCAACTGCCTCGACCAAACCTCAATGGATCTTAACAAACTTGACATATTATGTTCATAAATACATGTCTTTCAGGAGCTTTCCTCAGTTGCCACAGAAACCAAGCATGGGGGAACAGATCCAAGCAAAACTGTTCATATATATGGGTCTCCAAACTTGGCACCTCTTGACTTTTTCAAGGTTGTTGCAACCAAAAATTTCTATTGTTGAACTTGAAACTTACTGCCTTGAATATTTTGGAGTACTGCTTTTAAATAGAACAAAAAACCTAAGATGTTTGATTAAACAAGAATGGTGTCGTGAATTCCAAGCAGTTTATATGCGGTTTTATCTTGATATTAAAAATTCTACAATACTGATCATTTTCCGTAGTTTTAAGTTTCAAGGCCAGTAGGTAAAAAATACCACTGGCAATCAGTTCCAGGGAGGAGGGTGCAGTGAAACCCTTTACCGCCCCTCAGGCTAGAGCTTCGTAGAAGTCACAGTGAATCAGGTTTCCAACCTTGTCAATGTAGGTTAATTCAAACATGTACGTGACAAATCCAGGTTGGATTTTCATTTGGGGTGTTGTTAGGTCAGAAGGCACATGGGAAAATCACACAAAAATCACATCACACTGCAAAGACCGGAGCTATCAAAGTCATAGCATAGTATACATTTCCTGGGATCAGGTTGACATTGCATTGCTGCAGATTAATGCATTCCAGAGTCTCTTTGTAATTGGAATTTGCTGCAAAGAACACCTGTGCAGGTACACTTTCAAATGAGAAATTTTTCTCAGAAATGCATGCTGCAAGATGATATCAATTAATAACATTTTTGACTCCTTTCAAATTGTTTACTGCCAACACTCAAATCACATTTGTGTGTATAGTGTGAGTTTTGTGCACTTTCAGAAAAAGAAACAGTGAGTCAATGAACCTTCTTAACAGACATTGGCAGAGTTGACGATGACAAAGTCCAGTTGTGTCGGGCACAAAAGAAATACAGCGGAGAAGAAACTTCTGAGCCATTTTCACTTCGCATGTGTTCATGTGGAAGTAAGATTTGCAAATGGTGCAAAGTGTGGGCGAGCGTTAAACCTTGTGTTGAGTGCACTCAGTGCTGGATCACTGCACATGCCATTGGAGCACTGTCAGTTGGCTCCCCTGAGTAGCGCCCTTGACAGCTCCTGTTGAGTAGGCCAGCCTATTCACTTGTTTGACTTTGTTAACGACATCGTGTTAGCAAAAGCCAGTGCGTGAATGTTTATACCACTCAGGCTACTTACAAGTTCATCTTTCACACTCAGGCTTGTACTGCAGTGGCTGGGTCAAGAGGGGTCCCACAGGTGTCATCTTGTCGTCCTTGAATGATGGCCGGGAGACTGCCAAGACGATCCTGAGAGACCTGTCGGATGGCTCCTTAGACATCAGGGGAGACAAGCAAGGGTGGGACCAAGTAGCACAAGTCTTGATAGATCGAGGTAAGACACTGCCCTGTCTACTTCTTGCAACTTTTCAGTGTTTTTTTTTTTTCCCCTCTGGCATTTCACCTCACTCTGACTTCAAATACTCTGGTGCTTTTTTTTCCTGACTCAAGAGCATCCCCCTTCACTCTGCAGAGTTTTCTCTGTGTAAATTTTGTACAACATGGATACAGGTTTTTTGTAGGAAATAACGTCTGGAGGTTGAGTGTCCTCTGTTAAATGATTTTTGTTTTCAATTTGTCAGTTTTGCCATTCAAATAAGGCATAATTGTCAAAGGATAGTGTTATTCGCAAACTCATACATCAGATTATCTCTTTTTTCAGCAAGTACTATTCATGGACAGTAACTTTAGTGTTGTTTCTGTTTTGTCCTCTCATCTGACACTGCAAGATGTCTTTAGATGTTTTAAACTATTATGAAATGGGTTCAGTTGTCTTCAAACTCTACCTGCTCCATTACCCTCTTGTAGTATACCCTGTGGGGAAGCATACCAGTATATTCTTTGAAAAGATTCAAGAACTTCAGAAATTTCCCTTTGAAAGGTTCCACAGTTTCACGAATGCTGTGTCCTTCAACAGAACCTTGTTTTGAACCTTGATAAGTCTCCCTAACAAACTGTTGACTAATGCACCTTACAAGTTAAGGATAATTTTGAGGAAAAAATTCATTTAGTTGCAAATTAATTTTTCAACATCATACCATTGAATACTTGTTCCTGAAATTTGCAGCCTAAAGAGACAACTACATGGAACAGGTTTGTTACAGCCTGAAACAATTTCAGAACAAGAAACCTTTGATTTTTACCCAATACTAGAAGGGGCTGGCCTTACGTAGTCATTGTTGCATCATTCAGAAACGATATGGCAGGGGAGAAAAAAGCGAGGTGCCTGTATTATGTTTCAAGGCTTAATCATGAGGATTAATTCCAGGGCACTGTCATTCTTTGGATGCAATCATTTTGCCGTCCTGTGAGCATACAAGGTTACCATCTGATGACTGTTGCCACGAACAGGAACTCTATCATCTCTCTCAATTTTTATGAAGGCAACATAATGAACACCAGGGTTGTGATCGTGGAAATATTACTTTACATGTATGTGTTGACGCGTTTTTAACGACCTGGAGGATGGTTCGCATCGTTTCACATTGCCAAAGTAGAAATTGACAGCGTGGCTGAACAAGTATGCCTAACCAGTGGCATGTGTGAGTTTGGTGTGGGCTTTAGAATTGGTACAGAAGCAGAAACCTTTTTATTTTGCGTGGTACATGTGTGCCAGATTCCTCACAGTTACCCTCAGACATGATGTCGCATTCAAACTCCGTAGTCCTGCAGCAAAAATTCAGAGGTTGAGCAAATCTCACTCAGCTCTAGCAAATTTTGCTGGTTGTGTTTCTGGACATCACGTTCGCTTCCACATTTATTGCATTGTTTGAATAGGAGGCAGCCTTTACACAAGTGCCTTTTTTCAAAGATGAGTTCAACTTTGTAAAGACACATACACAGGACCATTCTCGTTTTCCAACCAGCAGGCAGACTTGTATAAAAAAAACCTTTGACATTACTGTGTCTTTACTCTCCAGGTAGAAAATAGCATGCTCAATGGTTCCCAACTTTTGCAGTCGTTTGTTGCCTTAAGGGCAGAGATGTTTGCTCTTAATTAGAGCCCGTTTCTCCGGGTATCAGACAAGTATACTGCAGTGTAGCTGTGTCTTTGACAGTCACTACAGCTCAGTATTTTTGGTTCAACAGTTGCCGCGCCGCGCAATGTACTTATTAATTAATTTCCAAACGTTTCTCCTGGTGCACACAGCCAGGTTTCTAATAATGCAGCATTCCCTTTGGGCCAGATTAGTCAGTACCAGTGACATGTCTAGCCATGTACCTCTGCTGTCACCGAATCCCCCATCAATTGTCAACTGTCGGAAGATACAATGCCCCCAATACAATCCACCAGTACCTGAGAGGACTTTCCATCAGATCCAGTACCAAGATATTTCCCCATTTGTAATTTTGTTCTCGGGACTGCGGGTGCCTGTCAAATTGTCAAGTGGGTGAAGACAACATACGCATGCACATGTGCAGCACTTTTATCAAATAGGGTTGTGCGATTTGTTTGAGTATTCAGATTTTCAATCCAGTACCAAGTATTTGAATATTTAATTTGAAAGTGAATATTGGAAGATGAAAAGTAATATAACAATAAAGAGGAAAATTCAATTACTTGGTCACAAAATTGCATTCAGAAAGCTAATTTCACAGTGTTACAAGTACTCTTTAAGGGACATATGCTCAGCAAATATGAAGCAGAAGTACTTTACCTTCAAGTTTTTTCTTTTTGACACATCATGTTTAAGATTATTTTTCCTTTTTTGTGTGCTTTTTTAGGAATTCAGGGCATCAAATATTCAATCCATTGGACGGTGAAGGATTCAGATGTTCAGTTATTTGAATTGACCTAGCTTTATTTTTCATGGGTGCAAGCCAATTTTCCCCCCTCATAAAGTACAACTGAAAAAAACTCCACCAATGTTTCCTCTTTCCTGTTTCCACACTTATTTAAACATCAAACCTTGTATGAGTAAAATACAGACACATAGTTTTTCTTTGTATGCATTTCATACCAAGTGTATTTAAGGAATTGGAAATGCAAAATTTATAGACGTCACAGGTAATGTTGAATTTGAGATGATGTGGGGCCTGAGCGGAAATTTTTAATATCGGAAGCCGCACTTAATGGTGCTGATGTGAGTTTTATGGCCACCAGCTTGCCAGCGCAACATTCATGAGTCGAATTCAACATAGCCTTGTCATGTTTTGCTGCCTTAAGCCCAGCATGGCATACATTACATGCAGTCTGTCCAGAGACTTCATCAGGGGCCAATTTCATAACGCAGCTTAAGTAAACAAATAAGTAAAAAAATTGTTTAAGCGTGAAGAAACCTTGCTTGACAAACCAGGTTACCAGCCAAAACTTCTTGTGATGTATATCGTCTTGGAATGGTATTTACCTGTCTTTTGGTTAGCATGACAATCCGTAGAGTTTAAGCTAATAACGTTTGTTTATTAAGCAAGGTTTCTTCACGCTTAAGCAAATTCTGTGCTTATGCAGCTCTATGAATGGCCCCAGTTGAGTTACAAAATGTCCTCTCAAAGGAAGGTTTTACTCATTACTGTCATCAATGCATGTTGTCCACTTCAGTGTCTTTACTTGTACATTTGGTAAATCGTTTCTGCTGGGAAATAAGCCAAACAGGATTTCTTGTGGAATATTTCGTATGGCCGGCCTAAATTATTGGACAATCAAGTTGTTACCATGTGCCCAGTAATCAAAGTTGGGATAGAATATTTCTTTGTCTAACAACTCATACTTTTAAATAGATCTTCTGAAATCAGAAACAGGTACACGTTCACATCTTCTCCTGTTGTGTATGTTTGACATCATGGTTTGTAGATGCTACATGCATACTCTGTTAACTGTTTTTGGTTGTGTATATGTGCATTGCATCCCAGCTGTGTATTCACGTTGTACTTGTATTATATTCTTTGTAGTTGCTCTGTCAGTGAATGCGTGCTGTTGAATTTTGATACCAATACTATAATTGAATAAACGAATCCTTTATATATATATTTAAATTATTTCAGTCTACATGGGTGAGGTTATATGCATTCCTAATATCAAACCTGTAAATGAAGGGTTTATTTCCAAAATGAGATGTGTCCATTTGAAAAAACAGGTAATTTTTCCAAAAGAATGAAAGATGAAGAGCTTTAGCAGTGTACAATGTGTCTTTTAGCTTCTTTTTTGCAATTTTGACTCAGTAAAGTTGTGCTTAGCTGTCTTAAATCTGTAGAAACTGACTGCAGACAACTGAGCGAGGGTGGGATTCTGAAAGATTCCAAATGTTACGTATAGAATTTTGGAAATAAACTCTTCAAATGCACCTGCAGTGGCTTTGGGGTACCATGTGATGTTTGGGATTGTCTTCAGCATTGAAGCCACATGCTGTACTCTTGCTTTAATGGAAGGGAAAATGTGGTAATTGATTAAATCGGGTTCATCTTTTCTTAGTGAGGAAACCACCCTGATTGGAAATGCTCTAGATATTGAGTCAATAGTGGTTAATGCACATTATCACTGACCGCATTGTATTAATTGTGATCTATCACCGTGCTTGCTCAGTCCTAATATAATTTACCCTCTTAAATGTCCTATATGTACATGTACATCAAGCATTGGTCGTTTGGATGTACGGGGAAATCATATATTTGACCTACATGTGTCTAAAGATTGTCCAGGAAGACCTGTTATTCATTGCTGGGAGGTGCAACACAGATGCCCATTTAGTTGAATAAGACATCCAGCAGTGGCACATTTAAACTGATGACACACTCTAACTGTCCTGTACTGTGGGAACTCCATCAAAACCCTGCAAGACCAGCCAAAGGGGCTAAATTTATGTGTGTCAGTTAACCTCATAGTGCTTCTGTGTGAACTTTTTTATTTGTCATCAAATTCTACTTCTGGAAAGAAGTCTACATGTACATTATCTTTGCTCCAGTTTGCACCCATTCAAACTAATTCACACAATGGTTACACCAAGTGCATCAGCTCAAGCAAATTTTTATCATGCTAAATCATTATGTATGTACTCCAGTTCAAGCATGTTTCAATTTGTGCAGGCAAGTTTAGTTACACACTTTTTACACCAAGTTCACGCCAGGTATACCTACCAGATCAAGTTATGAGTAATGTTGCCTCAGTTTCAAGCAAGTGTGCGACATGTTTACACCAGTCTGAGGAATTTTATAATATTTGTACACAAATTCAAACAGGTTTAAATAATTATGTTGGTATGATGCCAATAAATGTTATACATGTAGCATCTTTACATTTATACAAATATATTTGTTCTAGTAATGATACAAACACATCAACTGCATCAGTCCCTGTGTGTAGCTTATGTTTAATTTATTTTCAATACTTTTTACGATTGT